GGATGCCAATTCTTTTCTGAAAAGGCAGTCTGCTTTCTTGTAAATATTTTTCATTGGTCAGTACTTGCCATTCTAGATGTTATTTACTTTTTCAGAGGGTGGGATTGTGAAGAAAGTAGTATCTAACTGTTGGCTGGAAATATCCACAGTGAGATCTAGCTTTGGAAAGAATCAAAATGTGAGAATAAACCAGTAATCCCTTCTCTCCTCTTCAAGTCAGAGTTTTGATGTAGTGGTTAGGCTACTGGACCCTGGTTTACTCTTTCTTTTTTCTTTCTCTCCTTTTTTTTCTTTCTGTCTTTAGGACTGAAAGCATAGTGAAAGAACTGGAGCTGCTTGGAAGAATCACAGCTCTAGACCTGAACTCAGAGCGAACAGAGCTTTTGACCTGTTCCCGTGATGATCTACTAAAGATCATTGATCTGCGGGTTAGTGCTGTCAAGCAGACGTTCAGGTGAGTGTGTTCTCCATAAGAATACTATGAATTTCAGAACTTTGGATTGCAGATTGCCTTCAGCGTTGGAGTGTTTTTCAGTATCTCCATGGAGAGACCAGTCTCCTAACTTTTTTTTCCTACATGGGTGGCAAAGTTCTCTAGAGTCTAACAGCAAAGATCTGCTCTGGTGGATCTTTTCATTTACCTCTATAAAGAAGATAGCTTGGCTTAGAAGCCTTTGGCCTAAAGGAAAGAATTTCTTCAGATGCGATTGAGGAGGGTGTATGAGAAATGCAAATTGTGATAAAGGGATACTGGATCTTAATCCAAACCATGTAGAAATCCTTACCATGCTCTTTAGTGAGAACCTGGAAGTCCATCTTCTTATAAATGAATTTACAATTATCTGATTCTAACTTTTCAGTGCCCAGGGATTCAAATGTGGCTCTGACTGGACGAGAGTTGTATTCAGGTAAGGACAGATATAAGCAAGATAGCTGATAAATCTTTCCCCAACAAAAGCGAGTGACTCCTGATGCTTGGCTGCATTGTCCCCATTTACAACTAGAAAAACTGGGGAAGAGTTTGTGATTTGTCCAAGGTTGCCTCTTGGTCAAGACAGTATATCTGTAGATGTTCATCCAATGTCTTGGAAACTCCGATTTCAAAGTGCTTTCACCTCTTTAGTGTTAGCAGCTGCTAACACTAACTCTTATAAGACTATTTAATGCAAAGTTGCTTGCTTAGGAAGTTGCAGGTGGAGTGATGGTGTGTGCTGATAAATTGCTGACTTGAAAATTGTTCTCTGCCTTCTGCACCTTCTCTGATCTCATAGTCCTGATGGCAACTATGTGGCTGCTGGTTCAGCTGATGGGGCCCTCTACATTTGGAATGTGCTCACAGGGAAATTGGAGAGGACGCTTGCAAAGCATCACAGGTGAGGGGAAGCTGGCCATATAATCTAAAGCAGGGGTCTGGGTTGTGAATCTTGCTGGGCTATGAAGGAATTGTAGTTGTACAGCTTTGCAACTTACATTGGTGTGTGAGAATTTTTAATATGCACGTTCTTTGTGGATTCATGGCAGTATTCTCTAGATTGAATTAAGGTTAGATTTGTTATTGTTCAACTTCTTAAACTGAGATATGATTCTAATAAAGTACATCTAATATATTATAAAGAAACTATCTCTCTTAGGCTTATTAAAAGCCCAAGTCTCTTGAGAGCCGAGAAAGTGCTTTTTCTTTGATAGTCAAAGTACTATAATGTTTCATTCCAGTGTTAAATGCTGTTGTGGAATTCAGCTTTTTTGTAAACTTATGCCTGGCTTCCGTTTCAGTTCTTCTATCAATGCAGTCGCATGGTCACCAGCAGGTGCCCATGTGGTCAGTGTGGACAAAGGAAACAAGGCTGTCCTGTGGTCTGAATTTTGACTGGATGGAGGGTGAAAGGCAGAGCATCCAGCGCCTCTGTGTATGGTGGTGCTGGTCCGTGGCTGAACAGAATGGAGACCTGAGCCCAGATCCATCCTGAGTTGGGATATTAACAATCGCATGGGCTTCACTTTCCAGAGGAAAGTTCTAAAGCAATGGAAAAGGAGCCTGAAGCAGAGACTTCTGATGGCTGTAACTGCACTGTGGCACTCGGACTCAGCAAGGGATTAGCTGTTCTGGATGGACAATGCTACTTAGTCATGCCTTTACATGCAGTATCTATGCACCAAGTGGAGCTGAAGATACTAGTGGGATTCCTCACCAGACAGCTGTGCCAAATACCCTGTCACACAAATGTATCTGCAGCACTTCTTGAGTTGGAAATGTTGGAAAGAAGTTACTGTGTATGCTGACTTAATACATGTCCTGTCTCCTGTGTTCTGTTCTTGTGGCCTAGTTCAGGCATGGGGTGAGAAGATCCTGAAACATGGACAGGTCCTAGGCAGTCTGAAGTGTTGGAACAGCTTCTAAAGAGAGTCTCCCGTGGCTCTGGCAGCTCTGTCTTTTTGAGTTATCAGCTCAACTCAGATCTGCTCTGATACTGACATAGGTTCTCCAGCACTGTCATGTGAACTCTTTGTATCAGTTTCACCGGTTCTTAAGGCAATGGTCCATTCTTCAGGACTTGGGCACCCTTTTGTTAAAATGCCCTTCAACAGCTTGGATATCACAAAATAGGAGATTTTTAATCTTTTTATTCAACAGGCAGTTTGGTTACTGGGTGTGAGGAGAGGGAAGTTCAACTTCTGTTGTGCTGCTGTGATAAGGAATGTAGTCATACTGTGACTTCAGTACCAGAATATAGACATTTGGTCCCTTTTTCTGTTCATCTGTCCTGTCCTGGAGGCTGTCAGTAGAACACGGGGAGCAGTGGGGTTAAATCCCAAATCCATTGTTTTGGTGCTGGCAATTCCAGGCCACTTGCCCCCTTCTTGAGCACATGTGCAATATTCCTGTTAGCGCTGGAGCCCTCTGTGCTACGGAGCAGTGTCTTGGCTCTGTCCCTGTTCAAGCATCAAAACCATGATGTGGCTGGGTGTGAGCTACCTGGCATAACTTTATCCAGCCAAACCTTTCCACATCATCTGGGCAAGACAAGCCACCAGCGTTTTATTGCCTTTTTATTTGCACTTTATTTTCTTCTTTCCTGATAGTGTTTTACTAAGGAAGTGTGTTCTTTGAAGGGGCTTGATTAGGGGGCAGCTGCTATAACAGGTATCTCTCTAGCCTAGCCTTTTGTTCAGACACTTTCTGCAGAGGGGAATTAGAGTACATGGGGCAAAGTTTTTATTTATTCAGCTGCCAATAAGAACTTGATTGTAAATAAACCTGTGTTCTGCTTTTAAAACCCCACAATGCTCTGATTCATTTATTTGTGTGTCTGTGTGTGAGACCTTGTTCTGAATGAGTGAAGAGGGGAACCTGAAATGTTTTTCTCTGCTATATTTTCCTGATGAGTTATGGATTTGTGGTCAGCTGCATTGTAGGATTTGCTGTAGAGGGGGAAAGAGGATAACACTCTTAGCTTGAAGCTGGTCATCCTGCAGATACAACCTGGTCTTGCCCTGTCTCAGGAATACTGCCTTGAGACTGAAGGAAGTCTTACCACTCTGAACAAGTGCCTCTGTCCTTGAAAGGTTGATGTATTCCTGGATGTTTTGGATAAATTACTCAGTCGAGGAAATCAGTATCTGTATTTCAGGCACTGCTGAAAATAGAAGGCTTTTTCTGCTGTGATACTTTGACTGCTACCTTGTTAAGTTTTTAAGCCAGTAATAGGAGTTGCATGTTTCTTTAAAAACACAAAAACCCTTGTTGAAGATAATGCTCTGGTTCCTACTTCAGAGTAATGAAGTGAAGCCTTCAGCTGTTTAATGTATAAATTTCATACATAACTAAGAGCCATCACTGACCACCCTCCTGTTTTTATAAGAAAAGCCTTCTGTCCAGCTCTTGGAAGTGAGAACTGTAGCAAAAATGAAAAGATTCACATTGGCATTCTGAAGCATTTCTAAAGATGATATTTTTTCTTCTGCCTGTTGCTGTGGCAGAAGGTCCTTCTTGAAAAGGCACCTACCAAGAGTCCAGGTGACCTTGATTACTGCAGAAAAGCAGATCACTAAATGACAAGTCAGCATGATGAAGGATTATTGGGAGATTAATGTAATAAAAACTCTGCAGGCTCTGCTGAGGAGGATCAGAATGGGTTTAGGATGTTTATAATTTAGGCTGCTGTACTTGTGTTTTTCTACAACATGGACACAGATCTTACACAAAGGGCTTTGTTTTGTCTGTTGATGCTGTTATGAAGTAGGTTAATAATACTTGAGGATAATTGCTAGCTAGCTAAGACCTTAAGTATTTTAGATTAAAATTCCTTAGGACCAAGGTATGTAGGAAATTCTAGTGACCAATTTTAGCTTTTTTTGCTATAGTTTGTTTATTTACTTCTGTTGTCCCCTTTTCTGCTTCAACCTGCAGAGGGAAGAAGAGAAAACAAAGGTACCTGCTGTGCAGAGGTGGCTGTCCTGCTGTTTCTCTGCTAAAGGTGGAGCTGCCCTTCAAATGGTTTTGGGGGGTGGGTATCTTTCTCCAGACATAAGGGTGCATTAGGAAGTAGGTGTTACGGAGAAGCTGCTTCCAGGCTTCCCTGAATATATTTGCAATGGTGCATGTACCCACACCTTCCAGGCCCTCAGAGAAGTAGCAGGTATAGCAGGCATGCTCATTCCTCTCCTGAAAGACTAATAATCCTGCAGTGGCAGCAGCAGCAGAAACTCAACAAAACCAGCTTTGTCCTTTTTGCTTTTGCACTGTATGACTGAATAGAATGTGTTGATTTTGTGGGTAAATTTCTGGGGTCTCTTCCCTACTTCTTAAAACCAGGATCTGGCTTTCCTTCAGCAGCACAGGCATGTGTGCATTTTTGTGTTTTAGGGCTGGCTGGTTTGTGTTTGGCAGAGTTGATTAAACAGTAGTGATTAAGCTCTCCAAATAATCCACCTCCAGTTAATAAAATGTTGCTGGAATTTGGAAAATACTGAAAGAGCTGAGAAACACTGGTTCTGTGTTCATTTTTTTTGAATAATTTGTGTACCCAGGCCACTATATTCAGGCAAATGTTGGTGATTGTTTGCAAAAAGCAAGCTTGATTTGTGACTGCAAGATTGCCTGAGATGGAGGGTGCTGTTCAGGCTGGCAAGTGGAGAGGATATCATGTGTTCTTTCTAATCAAACTAACAGATGCAGCCCAGAGGAAAGCTACAGCTGTTTATGCAGCTTGCAAGCCAAAAATTACACATTGTTGTACATAATATCAAGACCAAATTCTTGGGGGGGGGGGGGAAGCTATTCTTGGGACATTCATGAACAGAAAAGCTAAATTGATTGAAACCTCTGTTCATGTGTCTTACATCTTGGATGTGGAGCCTCACTCCTATAAGTAAACTAAGGAGGGGAGGTGTACTAGCTAGCAACATACTGTTTTGCATCAGCATGCCAATGGGATGTTGGTGGAGCAGTAATAGATAAACTGCTTAGTGATTCTCAGAATAATATGTTGTTCTCAATGTTTGGTAGTTCTTCATAATGGCATCTATTTATATAGAGACTTGGCTTGGTGTTTTATAAACTCCCTTTTTCATAAATGGCTCTTGTCTGTTCAGCTGCTTATCAGGCTGGATGGGCTTGCAAACCAAGGAAGGAGAAGATAGAGAACGCTTTATTCTAAAGCTGCTTTCACTACCCATCCTGTTCTATGTAAGTCTATGGTCTCTACAAACCATGCGAGTATGACATTGTGGACCTTTTCATTGACAATCTGAGCTTCCTTAGGTTAATGCTTTATGTTGCTGACTTAACCACTTTCCAGTTGAATCTTAGCCCAGGTACAATATTTGCTCTTGGAGGGGGATTAATTCTTGAAATCCTGGATGGACGCAACTAGAGACGTGCTTCCAAATCCCCTACAAATTGTCTTCCTTGTTTGCTAAGAGGTTAGTGATTCCCTTTGGCAGATGCGAAGAAGCATAAGACGCAGCTGCATGAAAAATTCATCTTCAGTAGTTTAGCAGTTCACATCTTTGTCCTGTGGCAGCTCCTGTGGCGGCATTTGGAACACAGCAAGGTATTTGATGTTATTTGCTGGTTTGTTTATTTGGGTCTACAGCATGAGTAGGGTGTCTGTTCAGCAACAAATACTGTTCTGGACTTGGAAAACCCACCTATACTTCATAAGAATAGAACTTCTTAATTGCGTAAAGTCTGTCTAATCTCTATCTTACATTTTTTCCAGCTTTATAAGAAAGGAAGTATTTCCTTTTTGTACAGTGTGTTGTGTGCAAATAGAAACTGTTTCTACTCTTGAAACAGCTTTGAAATGGGAAAGCAAGCAGAATAGAATGGAAGCAAACTGTGAGGACAATCATATGCTGTCAGACCAATGGTTTGTCTAACACAGTATATTCATTCACACCAGTCCAACAGGGAGAAGCATAAGAATAGGGCATATGTAGCATTGTCCTTTCCTGATGCTGCTCCTCAGTTTCAGTGTCTTACGGGGTTGCACCTGGGTCATACTGTCCAACACCTGCCAAAAGCCTTCTCCCTGTGAACACATCTAATCATGTGAATCAATTCATATTGATGGTTTCCAGAACCTTCTGCAGCAACACACTGCACTCTTGAATTTTGTGTTATGTGGGGAAATGCTTCACTTTATTTTGAATTTGCTGTCTGATCACTGAACTGGATGCTGCTATTTTATGACTTACAACAAAATGAAAAACTAATCCTGCTCCGCTTTGTACCATCCAGGTTTTCTAGACCTCTCTGGATATTTCTGTATCCTTTTGTCTGTGTTGTCCCCCCTGCCCCCAAAGGATCTTATTCCATCTGTCTTTTCCTTGGGTACAAGCTATTTCCTACCCCTGATTATATGTGTTACCTTTCCGGGCAGGTAGCTGGACTGTTGTATTCTTAAGGTACATTCTGTTTTGAGTACAGTGATACCCTGCAAGTAATGAGTTGCATTTGGTTCTGATTTAGGAAAATGCAGTAGGGCAGATGAGTACTCATTTTGGGCTTGGTCTGACTCCTTACCAATACATACCACCTTTCTAGGTCTTAGACTGAGCATACCATATCCAAGATGTGGATATGTAAGGGGTTCTGAAATGGTATAAATGGCATGCTCTGTTGTGTTCTTATTTCCTAATAACTTCTCTGCTTATGTCAAGACACTGTTCATAAGTGATACCAAGTATAACTACGTGTCAGACTATATTTATTTTCTTTGAGTGCAATACTTTTCACTTACTGTTACAGAATATACTGTATCTCATTACCTATCCAGTCTGCATCATGAAGCACTCCTCCAGCTTAACATAGACAGCTTTATTTTTGGGAATCCAGAATAGCTTTGTGCCTGTGGGCAGGCTATTCACTCCTTATCTAGGCTTCTTTCCGTTCATTCAAGGATATGCTCAATAGCGAATGTCCCAGGACAGATGACGCTGTGCTGTCGTATGCTTGCAATGGTAAAAAAAAAAAACCAAAACCAAACAAACCCTGCCAAAACAATCCAAACACTGAAAGTAGCCAAAACCCATATGTATTGATACTCTTTATTTCCCATATTTCATCCTGTTATTGAGTGAAATTATCTTCCTTCTTATCTCATGACAATTTAGAGCCTCTGATGACAAAACTTGAGGTACCTTTTGAAAATTGAAGTACCTTGTGTTGATCAGATTGCCTTTATCTGTACTCTTACAGATTTCTTCACAAAATTACTCTCTACAAACCTCTCTGCAAAGGCCAAGTTTATCCCTTCCACTCCAGATTTTTCTATTAGTCTACTGATTTTTTAATATTAATTAAAAAGAGTTCTTGCTCTTTTGTACTGTTTCTGAAGAGCTGTTTTTAAATAGATGGTTTTATGTTTTGTTTTTTTTTTTTCATGAGGAACTGCTAAAATGAAAAGAAAATCACCTTCTGTGCTGTGCCTGACTAACTGTTGAAATACAGTCTTTGGTAAACTATACATGGGACTGGAGTGCTTTACCCACCAAGTATAATTCCACTTTTCTCACCCACCTGTTTTTTTCTGACATCTCTCCCAGGACCTTTTGGGGCAGAAAAACTTCATTCACGCAGAGTCACATACCCATCTTTCACCATGAGCTGCCCTGAGTCTCAAAAGATGGGGACAAGTGGAAAGAATGCTAGTTCTCCTCATAAACAAGTTATCTTCAAAAAAAGCACCCGTGACAAAGCTGTAAGTACCATAATAATGGGCTTATATAGGTATGAGTTTTACTCGTAGTCAGACTGGAGACTACTTAGAAAGCTCT